CACACACACACACACACACACACACACACACACACACACACACACACACACACACACACACACACGCACACAAAACCCCATTAGATAAACTCACACAGGTAGAAAACCCAGGGTGCCGGCGCGGTGGCCCTCAGCACGTACGTGAAGAGAGAGGACACGCCCCCCGCAAAGCCAAGCATGGAGTCCTCGACCCTGAAGTAGTAGCTGAGGAGAGGCATCACCACAATCGTGCCTGGAGGAAGGGGTTGTGGGGGTTGTGAGGGTTGTGGTGGTGGGGGCTGTGAGGATGGTGAGGGTTGTGGTGGTGGGGTGTGAGGATGGTGAGGATTGTTGTGAGAATGGGTATGATTGTGAGGATAAAAAAGGGTTGTTGTGAGAATGGTTATGATTGCGAGGATTATGAGGATTGTGGTGATGGTGTTGAGGATACTGAGGATTATGATTGTAGTGATGGTTGTGAGGATAATGAGGATTGTGAAGATGAAATAATTGTAATAACGAGGAGTGTTGTAATAATGGTTGCAATTATAATGAGGATTATGGTTGTAATGAATGTAATGAGAATGATGATTGTAATAATGATGACATACTACTGAAGGGTATGATAATGTGCTAAGGTGATGATTGTGATGATAATGGTAATGAGGATTGTGATATTCATGATTGTAATAATGGTGATCGTGGTGATGAATGTGATGGTTATGATGCTTGAATTAATAAGTATTGTAAGAATAACGAGGATTGTGGTGATAGTGACTATGAAGATAATAGATTGTAATAATCATCATTCTTATTAATAACAACTCTCCCATTAAATTTTGTCATATAATAAATCACATTCTTATCATTAGTAATCCTATTATTCAAATTCTATTCTACATTCATTTTTTCCGGCACTCTCGAACAAAAAGAGTTACGTAATAATGAAACACTCACCCACAGAGGAGAGCGGCGTGCTCACGATAGACCACAAAGTAAAGCTATTATAATCCCAGGAGAATTTTTTGCGTGTGTACAGGAAGTCATAGTTCATCAGACCTGAAAATTTCAGTGGAAGTGTGTAAAAAAGAAAGAAAGAAAGAAAAAAAGATGGTATGCGGATTAAAAATGAATAATAAAAAAAATCTTGATAAATGACATGTGATATATCGTATTCATAAGAATGGATTTTTGTATATATTAGTTTTTTTTTCTGGAGGGCCTGATGATGGACAAAGGGGAGATTCTGAAACCTCTCTCGACCAACCTTTTGTTCATCGAATAATTTTTTTCATAAGTACTGCATATATTGTATGTTGATATTATTTCATGTAAAAGGGAGTCAGATGCAATCGAATTTCTTCTTTTAAGGGTTTGCTTTAAATTTCGTGGTTTCGTAGGGAAAGAAAAGAAAAGAAAAGAAAGAAAGAAAGAAAAAAGAAAGAAAAAAAAAAATATATATATATATCATACCACAGTGAAAAATAGTGATAATGGAAGGTCAAGATTCGCTTACCGAAGTTGAACACCTGGACGCAGCAGTTGAAAATGTGCACCAGAATGTGCGTGCGCGCGCGCCCCTCGCGCGAGGCCGCCACACCGCCAGCAGCGTATCTTTCAAGTGGGCGGGCGAGAGGGCCTCGCACACGCCCGCCTTGCTCGAGGTCTCGGCCCTGGCGCCCCCAGGGTGCTCCTCGAGGCGCGCCAGGATGTAGAGGACGCCGAGGAAGTCCAGCGTCACCATAGTTCCGAAAACGGCGACGTATCCGCCGCGGGCGTAGAGGACGGCCCCGAAGTACTTGCCTACCGGGGACGCGAGGAAGAGGATGACGCCCACGACGGCCATGCGCGTCGTGCGAGCCTTTGGAGTGGACGTCGCGCTTACGTAGGCGTAGACGCCCATGAACAGCCCCACGGTGGCGCCGGTCAAGCCCGCGGGGAGGTAGGCCAGCAGGATGAAGGCGGGAGAGAGGGACCACCAGTAGGAGTTGGCCACCAGCCCCAGGCCCAGCAGGAGCTGCCCCAACGCGGGCACGAGAATGGGCAGTCGGCGGCCGCGCCAGTCGCTCCACGCCCCCAGGAGCAGCACCACCCCGAGGGCCGGCAGGTATTCCACGATGTGCCTGTATACATTGTACTGATTCACCAGACGCTGCACCGTGTCCTGCTGCTGCGGGTACGTTCCCGAGTCCAACTTGGCGCACACTTCCTCGCCGAAGCCATAGTGGATGAGGCAGGTCTTGTCCACCCACAGGTTGGTCATGAAGACCGACTCAAGACCAAAGCCAAAGGCTTGCAAGACCAGAGCTGGCTCGACGGTTACGTACGAGAGGAAGGTTTTTACTCCGAGGAAGCAGTTGCCGCAGCGCGAAGCCGACGGGGCGCTGGCTTCCCTTTTGTCAAGCAGAGGAGTTTTTTCGTTGCATTTCCCCGCCATGTTGATGACAAATCTCAGAAATTAGTAAAGACAAACTCCTTCGTTACATGTAACAGCAATGACTGTTATCTAACCAAAGAGATA